TATAAGTTAAACACAGCTGTGAGCTATTATGCTGCAAAGTTGTATCTGCCTTAGCTCGCCAATTTTTGATAAAATTTTCACTTGTTAGAGTCACCAGGGAACAGGGCAGTCATGGCTCCGTGCTTGCTAACTTCCATTTTCCTCGCTCTCTGCCAATCCTTAACTCACCGTCTGCCTGGCTTCCTCTCAGCCCCGGATGATGCTCCTGTCCCCCTTGCAGACGAACAGAAGCCACAGCTCTACCCTGAGTTATGAGCAGCATTTGGAAATTTACATCTTCAAAGGCTGCACTCACCAGGCAAAACCCTGGCTTTGGGGGAAGTGGTTACGCCGCAAAACAGGCACCCTGGTAGTAATGGTCCCTTAATTGGTACCCCCCACCCTCCCACACACACCCCCTGGCAATGTGCCTACACACAGCCGGATAACGTCCTGCTACAGCAAAGCTCCTCTCATTCAACAAATGTTTATCAAGTATCTACCATGTTCCAGGCACTGGGATTACCGCAGGCTCTCTCAGGAGGCAGACCTCCAGGACCAGTGCATGTAACCCTCCCTTTCTGCCCTGGTACACCCGAAGACCTTTGCAGGGAAGGCCCCCTGGGTGTGTAAGTGGTAGGAGTGGAGGGAGAGAAGATAAGAAAAGGAACTAAAGACAAACAGAACTGCAAAGAAATGTTGAGCTGTATGTAGCAGCAGTCTGCCGGTGAATAGTAATATTGATATTGGTATTTTAAAACTATTTTTATATATGATGGAATAATTACTTAATGTTGTTAGGAACCAAAATTGTCAGTGTCCAAGACAACATATAAACGTCAGGGGAATTAAGCTAACCACGCTGTAATGTTAGATTTGAATTGGAAAGGTCAATAGCATGTTGGTCAGTTTCTACAAGATGATGTGCTGTAACAAACACCCCTCATATCTCAGAGGCTTACGGCAACAATGTTTACTTGGTGTTCATAGGTCTGTAGAGAGACTGCACTTCAGCTGACCTCTGCTGGGTTCCCTTGGGCTGGGCCAGGTTGGGCTGGAACTCGGGCTTTGGATTAAGCTCAGTTCATCTACAATGTCCTCAATTTGGGATTCAGGCCAAATGAGCAATAGCTGCCAGTACATCATGGAGAGTGGAAGTTCCAAGAGGACTGGTGGAAGCTGGTCATGCCTCCTTCCGGCTCACCACTTGCATATACTATCATTTGTGCCTAAGTCACAAGGCCAAGCCCAAAGTCTACATGGTGGGGAAACGGACACCACCCACAGGGAAGCTATGACAAGGATGAGGAGGGAAGCAAGAGTTGTGGAGAAGTAACACCACCTCCCCTAATTATGAACTCATGGCTTTTCCTTTTAAAAAATTAGTATTTCCTAGTCCTGTCCACCAAAAAGCCTAAAAATAATGGCTGCTCAGTAGCAGTGAATATCCTCTCACCAAGACTGTGGTTTCTAAATGTTCCTCTCCACTGAAAGAAACCAGCACCCCTGAAGGAATGCCTGATTCCAGGTCTTCAGTAGGAAACGTACACCATAACATTGGTATATCTGCTGTGCCAAAGAGCAAGGAGGCCATCAAAAAAGAATGGGATCATGTTAAAAGGATATGGGAAATGACATGAAAGGGCTCCCACTGGTTAAAGACAGGACAATTTATGCATCCAAAAGAATAGTAACTACAGCTGACTAAAATGCAGATTCCTCAGACTCTTGGAGGACTGAGCCCAGGCACCTGTATTTTTTTTACAGAGCTCCCCAAGGATTCGGATGCATAGCCAGGGCTGAAGAGGCACCGTCCACAGTTTCTCTGATCTGCTGGGAGCCCAGGCTACTCGCCGTGCCCATCTTGCTCTCAGATGCTGGCCTCTGCTTCCTGGAAAGTCTCATCTCCAGGAAACTTACAATTGTCCCTTATTCATATCCTTCCAACTCTGGGGTGGTCCGGCCACATTGTGGCAGGCATCTTCAAGGAGGAAAATTCTGGTTTTCAATCTAACAGAAACGAAACAGCAAAAAAGCTAGGGCAGCTCCCCGGGTGCTCCTTTTAACCACAATTTTGATAGTGACAACAGGGAGTGAGCACTTCCATTTTTAGTTCACATATCACCGATCCAAGGCATTCAAGTTTGGGGTTTCTCCAGAAACCTCAGAGCAATTACTTCTTAATCCTCTCTGCATCAGAGTCACCTGGTAAACTTTTACAAAATAAGGCTGACTGGGTTCTGGACCCTGGCCCAGAGATTCAGATGCAATGGCCTAGGGTGGAGTCTGGGCACCCCACGTTTCAAAAGCTGCCCAGGTGGCTCTGTGGGGCAGCCACAACTGAGAACCACTGCTCCAAGCTAAACTCTTGAAAGCAAAACATCTCCACCTTAATGTCTTGTCACAACCTGAAACCAGATATGCCTTGGATGAGGTACGTTCCAAACGGCAGAGCCCTGGGGAAATGTCTTGGTCTGCCCCTCTTGGTGCCTCTGAAGAGCTCCCTACCCCGGCCCCCTACAATCAGCATCCCAGCCTCCCGGCGTGCACCAGGTTCAGGGTTCGGGGCTCACGGCAGGTTGGGCTGCCCTCCTCCATCCTCAGGACAAAGACTAAAGATCCAAATGTCTGTACCACTCCAGATCAAAGCTAAGCAAACAGAGACACAGAGGAAAAACTGAGGGTTGCTAGTTGGGAGGGGGTAGGGATGAAGGAGAAGGCGAAGGGATGAGACAATACAAATTGGTAACTACAATATGGCCTCAGGGATAGAAAAGACAGTCTGGGGAATATAATCAATAATGTTGTAAATATT